TGTTGCATCATTTTGGCAGAATCTGTGTGACATTCAGTGGTCTGAGAACTGAGCAGGTCTCTGAATTTCTTGAGGTTTTTGTGGGAGAAGAGGCATTAGCAATACAGAGAGCTTATATTGAAAACATCAGTAAAACTCCCTTGCCTGATGCCTCCTCCCTACTTTTTTGTCTGTTCATTCTTTAGTTTAGCTGATGTCATCTATTCTTACAGCTCTCCTTTTCTCTCATTTACATTTTTCTTTGCTTTCATTATTAAAGAACAGTTTTGCAAAATCAGAACTGAGTGAGACCTCATCCCACCTTCAGAGGTGCACACATGTGTTGTGCACAGGGTCCCCAAGGATGCACAACATTTCCCTGCCCAAGGTGAAAAGAGAGAAGGAAGGAAAATGTGTGTAGAGTTTTTCATTTTTCATAAGACTTCACTTACTCAGCTTAAAGAACTATCTTTGAGTCTTAGACTGTCTTTTTTACAGTTTTGGTGTTGAACTATTCTTTTGTGAAATGATGTGAGAGAGGCTTTTTCAGTTTATTTTTTAAAGGACTTTATCTTGCAAAATAAAAAGTATGGTATATTCACTCTCAATTTTTTTTTTTTTTTTTTTTTTTACATGTTAACAGTGCATCCTGTAGAAAAGTTGGGCTGTCACGGATAGAAGCATAAGGTGGCACTGTAGGTTTAATGCTGGGCACTGACAGGTGTGTGTGCAGGTGAGGAGGTACCTTCCTGCTTGCCTCTGGATAGGGTGGGGGCTTCATGGTTGGAGAGTGGCTGGGAGAGAGCCTGGGGGGACCTTGATTGATTCTGCTCCAGAAGGAAGCAGCTCTCTGTTCTGAGTCCACCTTAGGAGGCCTGGGCCTAGATAGAACACTTTACCCATTTGCCTTTTTTTTTTTTTTTTTTTTAAAGCATACCTTTCTGAGGGAAAAAAAAATCTGAGGGTATTTGCCTTTCCTGGTTTCTCTCATCTATATAGACACACACATACATTAATATATACATGCATACGTGTATACATACACACATATACACATGCACACATATATATACACGCGTACACATACATCTATTTATGTGCACCTACACATATACATACATGTACACACAAACCTGTATATGCACACACACATACACTCTTGTGGCCTTTGCAGTTGAATACAACCTGGTCTTTGGGATCAAACTTGCTGCCACTCAAGGAGCCTGGCCATACCCCCGGGCTCCCAATCCAGTAAGCAGAGTACCTGTCAGTAGGGCAAGGCTGTCTCAGATCCCACAGTGGGTGTCACAGCCTCCAAACCTTGGAGTCTCGGAGTAAGAAGTAAGCGAGCACCCCCAGAATGAGCCGTCCCCTGCACTGACATGTTTCAGGGGATGTGCAGGGGGGTTTACCAGATGCCTGCCCCAGCCTCTCTGTGGCAGCCTCCAGGGCATGAAGGATTTGGTGTTTGCTGCTCCTGGTCTCTGGATGGAGAGGGGCAGGCTGGGAGGGCAGGAGGAATGAGGGAGCCAGCACCTGGAGAAACACGCAAGGCTGTTTCTTTGCAGGGTAAAGTGTCTGCTGACCTGGTGTCTCGCAGCAGAGTTGGCTGCATGGTTTGCAGTTTGCTTGAAAAGTGCAGATGGCCGCTGGGCTTTATTGTGACATTGTATCGCAGGTTTAAGTAGTGCTTCCATTTTGATAAACCTATCTCAGTTTCTCCTGCATGAGACTCACTCCACACGCTTTTTTTTTTAAGAAAAGCTAACTGCCAATAAAATGAAGAGCAGAAATAGGGAACTTGTGTTCATTGAAACAGCTTGTGGTAGGGAAAGAGCTTGAAATGTGTGCTTCTTCTTCAAATGGGAGTTGAGCAATGTGAGGACTAGGTCCTGGTACTTCCCACTATGGAGGAGGGGGTTCAGTGAGCAGGGCTTGGACTTATGTCATTAGCTTCCCTGGAAAAACCCCCCTCTGCAGCATAGTTTAATTCTGAACCAGTAGTAAGCTCACCCGCCTTCTGACTTTTCTTGGAAAAGGCATTTCTAGGAATGTCTGCTTGGCTTGGCCTCGTGGCTAATGGTGTTCATGAGTCAGGTTTGTGGCAGGCTTTGAGCAGTCCCCTCGTTACCCGCCAGTGTCCCGGGGCTGGGTTGCAGTGTGGCCTGGTCCTTGATTTCATGCCTGGGCCTCCAGCCCCTTGTCCCCCACCGAAGTGGAGGGCACTATGTCACGTGGGTTTGTCGTGGGCTCGTAGCCAAGAGGGCACAGGGCTGAGCTGCGGAGGGGCCTCCTCCTAGAGGCCCCCCGGCCCTCGGCAGCCATGTCACGGTGGGCACTAGGCTGGCTTTGAGTCAGCTTTTTTGGACACATGAGGGTGTTGCATGTTGACTTTGCCCCCCTCGCAACTCTCATTTTGAGAGGCTGACTCTTAAACCCAGGTTGAGCCCACAATATTTAAGGAACTGGTTTCATCATGGCTGTGGTTTGGTGAGTGCAGGTGTGAGTGCCAGATACAAGAAGCTGTTCCCACTCTGAGGTTTCAGTAGAGTGATTTGGTGTCTCCTTTGCAAGACTGTGTGTCTCCAAGGTTCAGAGCCATCCCTCAGCCGGAGGGCCTGAGACCCCTCAGCCTCACAGTCTACGCCATGCACTCCGAGGCACCTGTGGGTCACATGTGGCTCCCCTTGACCTGAGAGCCCCACAGAGCAGGAGCAGCGGGGCTGCAAGTTGGAAGGGCACATGATTGGGACAACCCAGGGCAGATTAGCACCCCTGCTGAGCCAGTCCTGGAGGGTGCCTGCGTTTGTCCCGCCCTGCAGATGTGCTGTGGCCTGCCAGGAGGGGAGGGCACTCCAGACCCCATAACACAGATGGTGAACAGGGAGCCTTAGCTACTTCTGGCCCAGGGGCATTGGCCCAGGGTTATAAAATTTTTGAATTAGTTGCTGGTATCAGGTATATCGAATTTGGCTATAAGTGACAGGATACTTGATTGACAGTGTTTTAAGTTATGAAGAAATTCACTTAACTCACATGCCAGGAGTGTGGCTGCTGGGCCCCACCCCTCTCCTCTGCGATTTCTGTCCCCCAGGCTTGGCCCTGGTACCCTACTTGTCACCTTGGCTGCAAGGCAGCAGACACCTCCAGCTCCGTGCCTGTACCTGCGTGACCCAGAGCCTTCCTCTTACTGGGAACTTCCAGAAGCCTCAGCCACCCCCACAACCTTCCTGTCTTATCCCTGTGGCCAGAACTGGAAGGCAGGCAGGATATCCCTTAGGGTGAACACTCTGCTCCCCAGTCAGTCACTGCAGTCTCAACGTTGGCCACAGATCTAGCACTTTAGAATCAGAAGACCCCTGCCTACTTCAGATTGCTGGTTTCACTTGAGAGGCCTGAGGCCTAAAGCACCACTGACTGCACCCTGCCTGCCCTCCCCTCTTGCCCCAGAGCCCCCACCTCATGCATTTTGCTTCCCTGCCTGGCTTCTGGGCGTTGCTTCACAGCCCCTGTCAGTTCTCTTTCAGGGCTGACACTTCAGATTTCAGGATTCCAGCAAGAATCCTTTCTTGTCTGCTCTGTACCAAATCAGTCCTTGGGAGTAGAGTTGTGGTTCCAGGAGTATCTTCATCATAAGCTAACATCTGGGAGCATTTGTCCCTGAGAAAGTTACCTGAAACATATTTTGCAATGTTCTGGTGGTGACAGAGCTCAGGTAAGAGCTTGGAGTCTTTGGGTTGTCCCTATGACAGCACTTGCAGAGACACATGCCTTGCACGTATTGACAGAGTGTATGTGTGAGTGTGTGCGCATGTGAGTGTGTGGTGTGTGTGGGTGTGAGTGTGTATGTGTGCGTGATGTGTGTGTGCATGCTGACAATTTCTTTACCACCTGCCTGGCCTGGTCTGCCTGTCCGGTGTTGAGTGTGTTGTGCAGTCAGTACCTGGGTGAGTTCATTGTGGCACACCTGCATTGCGTTGCCCTTTCATCCCCCATGAGACAGTAGACTGAGTTTTTTCCAATCAGACCTATATCTTAATTTATCTCTGAATCTCTTGCAGCTTATCAGAGTCCCTGGCAAACTGTCAGTGCTCAATCAATGTTTAAAGCAAAGTGAATTTAGTTAAATGGTTAACTTTTAGTGTTCTGGTGCCTTATGAGCTATTGCAAGGTAGAAGGCATCTAAAAACATGTACTTTGTACTTTCTCATAGAGTATTTGTAGAGTACAGCACATTTTAAAATGTAGCCAGAATAGTGATGGTGTACACATTGTGGTTTGCAGACTCACTGAGGCAGAGTGTGGATCCTATTCATCTTTGTACTTGAGGATATAGCATTGTAGGTTCTCCATAGAGGGTTGTTGACTTAAGTGAACAACTGGAGAAGGGAGTGGGCCCATAAGCTAAAGGGTCAAAGTAAGTGAGGACCTTAGTACCCATAGTTACATAGGACTTTATAGTTCACAAAGCATATTTACATGTACTGTCTCAGGTTCCCACTTTATAACTGAGGTTAAAAGCAAAGTGACTTTCCCCAGGTAAGTGGCAGAGCAGGAATTTGAGCCATGATTCCCATCCCCTACACACTGATGACCTGAAGGAAGGTGGAACCTATCAAAGTTGAAGTTGACCAATATTGGAGAGTAGTTTCGGGTTTCTCAATGGTCGGAGGAGTGTGGGAGCAGAATGGTGTGGGTGTTCTCATCAGTCAGCGTGGCTGCAGCACGGCCAGGCAGCATGAGGAGCCGTCAGGGTTGCTGAGTAGTGGAGGATCAGAGTGAACCCAGGGGGTGAGCAGAGCAGGGATTCCTTGCAGAGAAATTCTGACAACTCTGGAGCTGAGCCACCTTCCCAGGACCTCAGTATCATGGGTGCTCAGGTGCTGTGGCCCTGACAGCGCTCTGGGCATTGGTGGTGTGGTGGGGCTCTGAGGCCGTCTTTAGGAGCCTTAGCAGGCTTTTCTTTTCATCCACGTGGAGTAAAGTGGAGAGATGTCATTTCTCTCTTTTCTCTTCTTGAGGACAAGACATTTCAAAGAAAGCATCCAGTTTATCCACGAGTGCCGGCTGAAAGGGGAGGGCTGTCTTGTGCACTGGTATGTATGTCCCTGCTGCAGAGTACCACCACGCTCTGGGTAGTTTGGTTCTCATCGACAGCCTTTTTGGGTGTGATTATTTGATATCCTAATCATTTTTTCTACCCTACAAATCTCGAATACACACTCCACCCTAGCCTCTGGTGTTTGTAAGTCATTCTTTGCTTTTGTCAAAAGAGAACCCTAATTTCTTTTTCATTTTCACCCCTTGTTAGGATTTCTGTGGGAACTGTAGAGCTTGCTGGACAGCAAACACTGTCCTTTTTCTAGCCCCTTAACTCCATCAGACAACCTCCCACAGGGGCTGAGGCTCATCCCGGACACTTTCAAAACTGTTTCTTTCTGGAGAGTTTTGATTGCATGTGTGGGTGTCAGCACTGCTTTAACACCAAAATGACAACTGTTTCTCCATTTATAGATTGGGACTTTTAAGTGTTTTGGCTTGCTCTTTTGCTTTGAAAGCGCAGAAATAGACTCTCAGAATTAAACTGTTTATGGACAGCTGCCCCCTGCACTCAGATGTACTTTGTGCAAGCGCACGTGCGTGTACACACAGTCATAAATACGCATGCACTGTGAAAAAGAGCTGTTATCACACACCCCCAAGGGTAATACATAATGAGCTGTTTACTGTCCTGGCATGTAGTAAGCTCTCAGTGAATGCGGGTTGTCACTGTTATTGCTGCCAGTAACCATATAATCGTACTGCTAGCAGAGCTGATTTGCCTGGGGAACCAGTAGCTGACACTCTGGAGCCAGGGCTCTGCTGTCTGTTCAGATGTAGGTTGAACATGTCACCTGTCTATCTTGAATGAGGTATACTGTTAATAAACTGAAGTGCTAACAGTCTTTTGATTTTCCAAAAAGAAGTTGCTACTGAATTGTGTGCTCTTGCAAGATGTTGTCTCTCCTGGGAGGTCCTGTCGAGGCTGAGGCAACCCCACCTTGCAGGGAGGGTAGTCACTTGAGCTCCAGAGAGAGCCCCCTAGGAAGCAGGGTTTGCTCTAAGGGCATGTAGTCCACCCACGGCAGGGGTAGAGGGGACTAAAGATTTCGTTGCTCTAAGAACGGTATTCTACAGTTTTATGCAGTTCTTGAAATAGTGCAATTTTTCATTTCACTTTTAAAATGAACAGGAAGTATCATAAATACAAATTGCAGTTTTGTAACTTTCATTTACATCGACTCTAAAGCACTTTAAGGGGGTGGGTGCAATTGGAGTTGTTTAAAGGGGTGTTCTGAAACCCTGCTTCTCAGCTCTGCTTGGTCCCTGCGGAAGTAGCCTCTCCTCCCTCGGCCCAGGAGGATGCAGACCTTAGGAGCTATGAGTCCGTGATGGGAGGCCTCAGGGAGGAGCCACCACTGACAGTGTGATTTTTATTATTTATATTTGAATATGAGTAGGTCTGGTAGTCTAGGGATCTTAACTCTTACAACATGTACATCTGAAAATATGCTTTTCAAAGAGTCAGAAATTTGCTAAACTTCCCCATCTTAAACCGTTGCTCAGAATACTCTAAGTTTGACGCAGCACCACCTCTCTGTAACTGCCTTTGATTTGCATATGCATTTAAAATTGGTCCTTACTCAGCCTGCTAGAGATCATGAACCGTTATTGCCTAAAAAGCATCCCCTTGACCACCTGCCAGAGAACCTGGCTGAGGGCATGGAGTGTGCCTGCTTTTGTACTCAGCCTGGTTTATGAAAAAGAGCATGAAAGTAAGATTGCTAAGGGCTTCTGTATCTAGTGGGTTTTAAAAATTACAGATCTAGCCCCAAGATTTAAAACCCCAGACTTTTAAAAAATGTGAAGCTTTCTAAACTAAGGTTATAAATGGATTTAGCACACACATCCTGGGAGCCTCAGGTCATCTTGGTGTACTTCAATGTCTTATCTGTCTGAGGATCAGAAAATATCTGAGAAGGGTTTGGGAGCAATAGAGAATTGTAAAGCTGAAGTGTCCAGAGTCATGTCAGTAGAAAATCAATCACAAATGAGACTAAAACAGCTAAAGAAGGCCTGAGATGTCAGGGTACTAAATAGAGGGAATCTGAGTTCTATTTCTGAGTGATTTCCCAGTGCCTGCTTGCTGTTGACACATAATCCAAGGCAGTGAAGCTCTCTGGAAGGTGGTCTCACTGCCCCAGTTCCCCGTAGATGGGTGATAGGATTGCACATCTGCACTTGCCTTTGGGGCCCCTCACATGTGCTGACCTTTTGGCCTGCAGCCTGGCTGGCGTCTCCAGGAGTGTGACCCTGGTGACGGCATACATCATGACCATCACCGACTTTGGCTGGGAAGACGCCTTGCACACTGTGCGCGCAGGCAGGTCTTGTGCCAACCCCAACCTGGGTTTCCAGAGGCAGCTCCAGGAGTTCGAGGAGCACAAAGTTCACCAGGTGATCAGTCCTCAGGGGACCTGGGAGATGTGGGCAGAAGACCTGGGATTATGGTCCAAGGATGGCCCAGTTCACGAGCCCATGGAGGTCACCACTGTAGAGCCACAGACTCTGACCCTGTGTACTTTTCGTTATGCGGTGTCCACTCTGGGAACCCTGAATTAGCTTTTGGGTGTATCCCTTTTGGTGACGTGCCATCTTTCTTGGTTTGGCTTACTTTCCTGTCCAGACTAAAACCTTGAAAAAGCATACATTTGTCTTGCTCAGCACTGGCAGATCCACAGCAGAGCTGTGGTTTCCCGGGGCACCTTTATTTCTCTGTGCATATTTGGCAAAACCTGTACCCTTACATGATAGGTAAAGTTTCCATGAATGCAGGGTGCCATATGTGATATTTCTTTTGTCTCCAACCTCTCCAGTATCGGCAGTGGCTGAAGGAGGAATATGGAGAGAGCCCTTTGCAGGATGCCGAAGAAGCCAAAACCATTCTGGGTAAATATAAAGAGCAAGGGCACGTGGAGGCCCAGCCGGGCACGAGGCGGTGGAGCGGCTTCTCGAACCTGGCTCCCCTGTCCTGCAGTGACTATACAACAGAGACCTGATGGAGAGGGATCTGGTCCTCACTCTCTCACCTTGCTTGTCTTCACTGTGCACCTGCGTGTGCACAGTGGTGTGTTGGATGCCTCCGCGGCCTGGGATGGGGTGGCAAGGATTGGGCTGGGAAAGGGTGTTGGCAGCTGGTGGTGGTGGTGTAGCTCTGCAGACTCTCTTCACTGCCACCCCTCCCCCCGCCGCCTTGGCCTGCCCGCACCTTTGCTTGCTGCACCAAAGGACGCTGCTCTTCTGCCATGTAGCACCAAGGGTGTGTGTGTGCACGTATGTGCATGCATGTATACCCTGTGTAAGATACGGGTGTGCATCACATGTATGTGTAATGCGTGAATGCAGGTATGTATCCGTTTGCACCACGTATGGGGGTGTAACGTGTGCAAGTGTGTGTCTGTGTGCACTGTGGGGGGGGGCGTAACATGCGGGTGTGTGTCCGTGTGCACTGTGTGCGTGGGGGTGTAACGTGTGCGGGTGTGTGTCCGTATGTACCACGTGCGAGGGTATAACGTGCAGGTATGTGTACGTGGTGTGTGGAGGTGTATACCTCATGTGCATGTGGAACCTAAAGATCAGTACTGCCATAAAAGTCACAACATGCGTGCTACTAGGATTTGTGTCGCCATCTTTCCCTTTGTCCTTGCCCACCCTCCCCCAAAGGCCTGTGAGCTCCACATCTGAAAAAGCTGTGCAGAGAGCAGCAGCTGGGCCTGGGAGCAGGGGCGAATGGCTGGTCCGCAGATGGGCTGAGGGCAAGGGCAAATGGCTGGTTTCTGGGGCCTAGAGTGATGGGGGCTAGAGGAGTTTCTGAACTGCCTTTCCCACAGTGTGGGTGCCAATCCTGGCTCCCTACTGCCTTAGCCATGCCACTGAGTTCTGTTTACTCTCCGGGCATTTGCCCCTGCGCTCTGGCTGCAAGCCCACTGGATCTGAAGTCAGTGTGCACCAGGGCCTTCACCCTCCAGCCGTCCAGGTGCACGGCTCCCTCCCACCGCTCCCAGTCTGCAGCAGGCACTCCTCACGGTCTGCAGGCACCCATCAGGCCCAGTAGCCGTTTGCGTTTAAAAATGCCTTGAGCATTTATTAAGCACCTTTGTGTATGCTTTGGATTTGGTGTTTGACCTCAGCTACCTCATTAAATTTTTTTGTAAATGTGTTTTCTGTTACCCAGTCAACTCTGTCTCAAACAGTCAGCCACTATGGCTTCGAAGCCGAAATGGAAAAGCTTCAATTCCGTTGAGCTCTCTGATGTTTCTTATTTGGGATCCAATAAGGATGCTTCCAGCTAGGTGAGCTCCACCTTCAGGCCAGGCTAGAGGGCAGGAGAGCTGTCACAGCGTGGGTAGCCCATGGGTGCTGTACAGGTCTGTGTCCCATCCTTCATGCCAGCTCACGTTCTTGAAGCACACAGCCACATGCCTGAAAAAGTACACCTGGCCTCTCCCTAAAGTGTTGTTGTGGCCCTGTATCTGATTCCACCACCAAGACAACACCTGAGTAAGAAAAGAGGCTGGGCGAGATAGAGGGTGTGTTGAGGTGAGCTCTTTAGGGAGGAAGTCGCCCCACAGCATGCACTACATCCCAATGGCCGAACCACATTCACTTACAAAGTTCATGTTTTCCTTAAACCAGAAAGAAATGTAAATATGTTGATATAAAAAGTATTTAGAGTTATTAGCTTGAATGTTTAAATATGTGTGTATGTTTACAAAGATCTCAGCATATTTCTGTAGGTCTTGAAATGTTTTAATGTTTGTCGCCAGTGATGTTCTTTCTCTGCAGCGACTCCTGGAGTTCTGAAATATTTGGACTTCCTCAGAAGAGTGTAATGTACCTGAAGTTGCTGAAATATTGGAAGGCCACAGTGTTTAGGCCCATGCTGCCAAAAAGAACCTAGAGTTTATTTTTAAGTACCCAGCGGTGATTTGTAAACTTGCTTGTTTTCTGTTTTAAATTGAATGCATGTGCAATCATAATGTCAGATGTTGACAACTGTTAACGCTCTTAACAAGAGAAAATGTTTTTCATTTTTACCTAACGCTGCTGCCTGGGCTGTTCTTTAGCCTCCCTCTGATGACTGTTAGGTGACTGTTAGTACTGGCGATATAGCCTGTCTTGAGCAGGCAGCCATGGGAGTGGGAGGCCAGAATCAAACTGCATAGACTGAGCAGTTGCTGTACAGCTCTGGTGTGTGTGTTTCCCTTGGTTTGGGTCCTCTGCAGTGGAAGTTACCAGAAGCTACACATTTCTGTTAATAAAGGGCAACTTAGCCAAACTGCACTTTATGTATGCTGTATTCTTCCTTCCTGTGGTGGGGGCGGGGCTCTGCCTGTGAGGAGGACCATGGTGACTAGATCCCCTGCCTACTGCATGGGTGGGGGTGCCTTTCTGTAGAAGCTCTTGTGTTCCTCCATGAGGCAGGCAGCTGGTGCTAGGAAAAGTGAACTGATTCCTCCATAGAAGAAAGGATCCTCAATGTGAGCTGAAAGAAATGAGGGTGTTGGCGTTTTTTGCTTGCACAGAGTAAGATTGAGTGTCTGTACTCTGGAATTGCTGCGCCTGGCACACCATGAGCATTTGCTGAGCACTGCTGGATACGGTGGTTGTGATTCCACACTGAGCTTTAGTTTGAAGGAACAGAAACTGGCTTGAAGAACAATATAAGTCGATTTCCTAAATATTCCTGTATAGATCCAGTGAGGGAGGAAAGAAATTTAACTTTTTACTCCAGGGATAGGCTTGGCTTGAACTGAAGGTAGGTGCACTCAAGCATTAATGTGTGGGCCTTTTGACTGTAGGTGGCAGGCGTGTGTTCTGATCAGCTTGTAATGCCTGGGGGCAAGGAGAGGTACAAAGAGTACCTTCCACACTGGCAGCAGTCCCTGGTGGGTATAACACACACGCACAACAAAACACCTGCAGGCGTTAGAAAGTGCGCTCTGATGCGAGCTGTAGGCCCCAGTGTGACACCAGTGGTCCCTGTGCGGCTCTCCTAGCATCTCTGAGGGTGTGTCCGTGCCTCGTCTTGTGTGGAGAACTCAAATAGTAGCAGCCAGCACCAAGCACAGAATCTGAGGGAAGCCTTACTGTGGAGGGGTATGAGGCAGGAGCACACTAAGCATAGCTGGATTTTGGCATCAGTTCCAGTGTAATAGGTCATGCACCTCTCCCTGTCTTATGCCCTCTCCTTCCCACCTCCGTCTTGACTTGAGACAGGGTCTAACACCAACAACAGTCATCTCATGGTGGTGAGCTTTGCCAGACACAGGGGCATAGCCCCTAAGCCTCACAAATCCGCAGAGAAGGTACTATTCCAGTTACTTGATGCACAGAGAGGCCAGGAAATACACCTAAAACTAAACAGGTGCTGGACCTGACCCTGGCTCTTTTTATCCCAAATCCATGGGCAAGGTGGGAGGCAGGAAGAGCAGCAGCCAGGGCTAGGAAGGGGACTGGGGACTCAGCCAAGTGCCCCCACATTCTGGGCCATGCAGAGGGAGAGCTGAGACCCCTGCAAAGTGTCAGCACAACTCAGAACCAGAATCTTTGCTTTGGCTTCTTTTGCCTAGTTACCCTGGAGTTGTTGGGGACACTGTGGGTGGTGGTCACCTCTGACATTTCTCTGGGAGCTCACCAGGGTTTTTCAGTGGAGATGGTAGTGGCCCTGGGTAGGTGTGAGGTGCCTTTGCTGCTGGTCACCAGACTCAATGATTGTGGCCAGACTGGAGGTGGGTCACAGTGACCTCCCTTGCCTTCCCCTCCCTCCACCTTATTCCCCTGATCATGGTAGGTGTTGTGGGCTCAGCCTGGACTCAGACACATTCCTGGTGCTCAGAAAGACTGGTTGGGTGGGTTCAGCAGCTTAGAAAACCTGTAATCACAGAGTGGGGTGCCAGGTGCTATTAATAGGTTCTCCCTGGTATACCTAGTTTGGGAGGGGTACTTAAGGAGAGGCTTCTTGGGAAAATGATAGCTAATTTGAGACCTGAAACATAAGTGTTAGGTTAGCTGGACGTGATACACGGAGAGTGCACGCAGAGGGACTAGGTGGGCCTCAGCCCAGTGTAGGAGACTGCAAGCACCAAGAGGGTAAGTGGCAGTGGTTGGTTGTGCAAGGCAAGGCAGTAACACAGCAAAGGCCTGGAAAGGCATAATAACCGCAACCATTTCTCTAATGCCTCCTAACTACCTGATGTACATTAGCTGATTTAATTCTTACACCAACCCTTTGAGCTAACCAGGCTTAGGTTAACATGCTCACGTTCCTGCAGGTCCAACTCCTGAGTGTGACTTTAGTGCCTCTACTCTGTGGCCTTTGGGCAGTGTGAGCACCCTTTTACAGATGTGGGAGACCCTGGTGTAGGCCAAGCAGGCCAGCAGCAGGACCAGGCACAGGCAGAGGTTAGGTGACTGCATGTGAAGAACAGGTTCTCTTACTGGACAAGGTAAGAGAAGATGGCCCTAAACAGGCATGGCCATGGAGGTGAAAGAGGCTAAAGAGGTGAAGGATTTGAGAGGCTGAGAAGGGAGAGCAGGTGTTCTCGGTGACCGATGAGTGTGAGTGAGCCCAGTAGCCTGCCCCTCTCTGGAGTCACGCTCCAATGCAGAGTTGTTTTGTGTCTGCGTCGCCCTACACCTGGAGCCATGGCAGGCCTTGTTGGTGGAGGCTGGAGCTGAGTGACTGCCAGGATTGAGGGCCCCAAAGGGTGCATCTCCAGGTGACACTGTAGCCTCCGTCTCAGCGAACCCCAGCCTCACAGCTTAGGCCCTCAGCCTGCCTGTGCACCTAGAGCAGACTCACAGCAGCCAGACTCACTGTGACTTATGCATTCACACGGCACCATTTTAGTTTATTGTGAAGGACAGAATAAGAGATGAATATTATCCCTTAGCCAGGTTATCTCTCTCTCATGATCAAGATTTTTTGGGAGGCCACATTAGTCACTGGGCATTATTGGTGAGCCCTGACTGTCAGGAAAGGGAGCATGACAGATGGGGTTTATCCTGGCCTGGTGCTCCTTGTCAGAGCCACAGCCTGAGCGCACGCTCCCTCACACACCATGTCTGCCTGCTGGGCCAGCTGCCCCTCTGTGTACATACCATCTGCCCAAGGTGTCTCTGACCTAAGTCCTGTTGTTCAGAGTGCCTTCATTAAACGTGGGCATCCTCAAGTCCCTTCAGCAACGCTGCAGCTCTGCCTGAGGATGGGTTCTTGTGAGTGACCTGTTTCGTTATCGGGTGCCAGTTCTTTCTAGTTTGTGACTAAGCAGGAAACCCCATTTCCAACATCTGGGGTTATGTGGTGATACTCCTACATACAGACGACATATAAATTCTGGGGGCTGGGGGGTGTGTGTGTGTGCACTCACGGGTACACACATGCACATGTGTCGTTTATTGTTTTTATTGTAAAGAAATTCTAGCCTTCAAGGGAGTTGCAATTGCTAGGAGTGTGTTGAGTTCAGTCAGTTTGGCAGCAGGTACCTATGGAGCCCATGGAAACGTCCCCAGATGATCAGAGTCCACTCTGCACACCAGCATCTAGTCAGAAAATAGGGAACACAGAATCAGCACCCTGTGGTCCCACATTAGGTGTCTCCTACCATCCTGACTCTGAGTTATTAATAATTTTATTAAGAATGTGCTTTCCACATGCATGCATTTATATATACATTTAACAAGAAGTCACCAGGACTTCAGAGGGTAGTTCCTCTTCCCTTTCCTTTTTATTGCCCAGGGAAAGGGAGAAACCAAAGAAAAATTAAAAAAGGAAAACAACCCAAATTTCCCTTGATTTGTTATGTCACTTGAGGGCTTGGAAGTGTGCTTTCATTCCCTCCATAGGATTCAGTAAGGCTTCCTGTGCCTCAGCCTGGCCAGGACCCAGCAGAGGGTGTGGACCAGCGTAGCGCACTGGCAGCGTTTCATGCAAACCTTTCAGTGCCTGGAAAAAGGGACACTTTGCTTTCTTGCATTCCAATTCCCACAAGAGATTTTGAGGCCAGTGACCATAATAATGGAGTGTACTTATTTTAACAACAGTTCTGCCAGTATCAAAACTAAAGTTCTGTTTTGCAGCTTAGGCTTAACCAACTTAAATAAACATGTGACTGAAGTTTGCAACTGCTGAGTCTGACTCTCTTCCCATCAGGGGAAAAAATTGCCAGTACGTGCTTGAACATCTGTCAGTTTGGGGTTATATTTACTCTAGATGTTTATGCAAACTATTGGTCATTAAGAGTTAATAGGTCACAGTTGTAAAAGTACAAGCTTTCCTGAAGCTTCTAAGTTCAGTTATTAGAGTCTAGTGTCTAAAGAGTCACTTTTGCAGGCACACCTGTTGGCACACCTGACTCACGGAGATACCTGAAAGTACTGGGCAGCTCAGTAATCTACCAGAGTGTGGTTTTGACTCTTTAGAGCCAAGTTTAATGGAAGAGACATTTTGGATGGGATTGTTACTGAACACATCCTGTGTACAAAGTCCTGTTTAAGAAAATCAGGTGGGAGTTGGGGGAAAATCCATTAGATTCTTTTTGGGTTACCATTTCCTCAGCAGTTCAAGGAATGATGTTGCCTGGGCCAATGTTAAGAAATAGTCTGGTCACACCATACATCATCTTGCCAGCCTGACCTGAGAGGGCCACATTGGCTCACATTGGTCCTCCTGTCCTGTGCTCGGTCCCCAAGGGCAGTATGAAAGGAGCACATGCACCACACCACCACCTGCCCATGGCCCCATTGCCCACCCCTAGAAGCACCCAAGCGTAAGCAGGAGCCACACTCACTGGAAAGCAAATCTGCCTTTTGTTGGCTGGCCCTGGGTTTCCCCACAGGACTGATGAAGCCTTTTGGAAAATAAAAAGGCCTTACATGAGCTTTAGAAAAGGTCACCTTCTGCTTTAAGAAGGGCAAGAGGCCCCCATGGCACGAAGCTTCCCCAGAACAGGAGTTCCTTGGGAGGGCTTGTCCTGGGCCAGTGTCGGACATCTGGATCCTCCTGGCTTTGTTAAGCACGCTGGTGTGGTGACAGGTGAGAAAGGAGGTGCCCCTGAGTGGGCCTTCGGTATCTCCATGAGTTAGGTGTGCCAAGATGAGCAATCACACCGCTCAGCAGAGAGGACCACACTATGCTCTGCCAGAGCCCCTCACAGTCATCCCCACCATGATCCAGAGTATGGAGACACAGGCCTGTGGCCAGTTGGGGCAGGGGTGCCTGTCCAGATAAGACACCCCCGGCCGTGCACACAGATAGGTCCCACGCCCAGCAGGCCTGGCAGGGTCCAGTGTGATCCCGGTTCTCTAGAATATGAGAGGAAGTCCCAGGGGGGAGCCCACTTGTGTGGGGACCTTCTCAAGACTGGCATGAAAGAAACTCACTAGAAGAGATGAAGAGTACCAGAGGGCACTTAGTCTGGTGGCACGTGGATGTGGCCAGAGCCAGCCTCGCGTACAGACTTCCTCAGATGTCTGGGAAGGCCTCAGGAGACCCCAAAGTGCCACCCACTGAGATGTCAAGACCCTCATGGCCACAGTCCTGGGGCGCTAAGTATAGGCAAGGGCTGGTGTGTAGGCTTCATGCACTTTTTTCTTTTTAATGTACAGCCTCACAACAATCCTGTGAGAGGCTATCATCATTATCCTCAGTGTCAGATGAGGAAACCGAGTTCTAGAGAACTGGAGTGACCTGCTTAGTCCGCAGTCAGAAAGTGGCTGAGTTAAGGTTGGAATCCACGTGGTCTGATTTCTTCACCTTGGGCCAAAGTGTGCTGAGGTTCCACCAGCCCTTCTAAAGTACAGTATTGGTGAACACGCACATTCTGTTAACCCTCTACTGTGAAGGTGGGTTCCCGAGATGAGAATTCTCATGGAATGTGAGTGGGGAGATAAAGGTGGAGATGGGTAGTGGTGCACAGGAAGTCCATTTCTTCTTTCAACCAAAGCGTGCTTGTGGACAGACACTGTGGCTGTCACAAGTGCCTCTGACAGTAAGTTCCTGAGGTAGCTGTCAGAGTCCTGGGATGTCCTGAGGTCATGCAGCGCTTTGCGAGAATGTAAAATGTATGTGCAGGGTGGCATGTACGTGCGGTGGTGTGTGCATGGGGAATGAGATGTGTTTGAAGTCATTTGGGGGTCTTTGTGTATGCAGGATGGCATGTGCATGCAGGGTAGCATGTGTGCAAGCTTGTGTGTGAGGATGTAGGGGTGGCATTTGTATGGGGTGGCATATGCATGCGGGATAACGTGTGTAAGGTGTGTATGCAGGGTGGCAATGTGTATGGTGGGTGGCATGTGTACGGGGTGGTGTGTGCGGGGTGGAGGCATGATGGTGACTTCAAGCCCAGCAGCCACTGAGAGCAGCAAGAGCAGGGTGAAGAGTCTATAGAATTATAAAAACAGTCCTCAGCAAATAACCAGAATCCTAAACCATTTCAGTGATAAAATACTCCTCAAAAAACTTTTTGTTGGTCTAAGTTCCCAGTAATTAGCACGTTCTGGTCGTGTATCCTTCAATTACCAGTGTATGCTACATGAGTCGGGGGCCGACTCCATGGCATCTAACAGCAACAACATCTACATGGAAGGAAGTTAACATGGAGAACTCCCAGCTAGAAGTCAGGACTAGGCAGAGCACCTTACCTACTGTCATTTTGTAGAGTAAGTCCTAGTGGTGTGGGATCATTCCAGCTTGTGGGGGCTGCTTGTGTAGGGGACCCATTTCTGCATTCAAAGAGTAGATTCACATTAACCAGTGATAGGACCATTGGAAATATTTACTGTCTAAAGTTTTTGTCTGCAGAGACATTTGTAGCCACTAGAATTGATCCCAAAGAAACACAGACATGCTATTTCTGGAATTTGATATAAAATGGGATTTTTATGAACCTTTCCCAGTCTTATACTTTTGTTTAATGCTGTTCCTAGCTATTTGTATATCTGTTGCTTAATGTGAAAGTTTTGAAAATGAACATAGTGTTCTTTGATCAATAAGGAATGAAGATAGATTGACAAATCTGGTTATCCTATTTATTATGAGAAGTTCAATTGTGACAAAATCATTAACAACTTTGCATAAGTTAAGGCTCGAAAAAAAGGAGCCCTGGTAGCACAGTGGGTAAGCACCTGGCTGCTAACTGAAAGGTTAATGATCAAACCCACCCAGAGGCTCCACAGGATAAAGACCTGACAATCTGCTCCCATAAAGGTTACAGCCAAGAAAACCCTATGGGGTAGTTCTCCTCTGTCACATGGGGTTTTTTTATGAGTCAGAATCAACTCGATGGCACTCAGCAACAACAAGGCTTGAAATTGGAAGTTGTAATTATTCATTAATGTGACAGATCAATATATAGATAATATGGTTTTCCCAATTTTTCAAAATATGCATTGTTGTAATTAAAAAGTATTGGTACATGAATTTTTCTTTATTTTTTACCTTAATATTTTTGTTTTTGTTTTTTACTGACATGATAATATGTATAAAATTCAATGAAAGATTGTTTTTTTCCTGAACGTGATTCTTTTCTGTCTCATTAATATTTGTTTTCTTTCATGATCATTACTTAAAATAATTTTGTCATATAGGGGAAGGGGACTACTGCTACACTCTGGATGTCAAATACATGAGGTGTGCCTCTGGGAAACCATTTTCTATCCAATGTTTATACAGAGTATTTGCAAGGTCCTTCATGAAAAACAAAATAAACTTTTGTGTGCTTCACTATCCTCTTTCTCCATCAACCTCCTTTTATTAAGAAATATTGGAGGCCCTCAAAGCCCATCTGATTTCACTGCAGTCCGTTTCAATGGGTATACTGTCTCCCTGTTCTAATTTGGTTTTATTAGATTTCTCTAACAACCAAGACTTGGCCTACTGTTTACATTTTGTTTTTTCTATAAAGGCAAAAATGAAAAGATAGTGAAAGTTCTGTGACTTGTCACACTTTTCTTTCATTTTTTCTGGTCCTTTCTTCAGAGATAATTGAAAATTTAGTTATTTTTAAGGACCCTGATGTGAAGGAATGCTGCTTTGATTGTCCTATGCTGTAGTCCCCTGTGGGTATCCCTTCCAATATGAGACTCAATATTAGAAAAAATCTGCATTTTATAAGCAGCCAGTGGAGGTTGAATCTTCCGCCTAATCAGACAGACCTCTCTTAGTCATAGAATTACCATTAGAGTGTCTGTAAGTTACCATCTGCCCTGGTGCACTTCAGAGAATCATATTTATAATTTCATGTACATACAACTTATTAAGACTGCTTCTACTGTGAAAGTCATATCTTTATTTGATGATGTGCCCCAGTATAAACGTTTCTGGATTTCTTATGACCCCTAGGCATCAAAGAGGCCTTGCCTCTGCCACCATCTTCATGTGCCCCTCTTTACTGCAGTGCTGCTAGTCTCGCTGCCAACAGACTATGAGCGTCTTGAGGGCAGGGCCTCCACAGGCCTGGCCCACAGTAGGTGCTCAATTAATGCTCTACCCATGAACTCTCAGCAGATCGTCGATTTCTCTCTCTGCACATTGCTGTTTGCCTGTGTGAGAGGGTCCCCGTGGCCTTGCTTCCTCCAGGCTGGCACTGCACCCTTCAGCCAGCACCCTGCTTTATTGGCCCTCTGGCTCCAGGCCCCCCTCCTTGCTCTTACATCAGAGCTCAGGGCAAGACATGTATGCTTTGCATCTCAGGACTTCTCTGTTTCCCTGGGAATGGCTCTCAGAGCCTGGAGCCAAGTTCGCCCTCTCTACACACACTGGCTTAATGTCAGCCTGGGAACAAGGGCCCCTCTGGTACTCGGTCCTGAAAGAAGGTCCCAAGAAATCTGCTTGGGACCTTCTTTGCCATCATACATTTAGCATACTGGGAATCTTGGGAATCTGAGTGCACTGTGGAATGGGAAGGTCTGGTGTAGCCCGCCTCTAATTTTATAATCACTCCATGTGCTGATATTTGTCTCTGAGCCTTTAAAGAAAAGTCAGACATTTTGGGAACTGAATCTTAGCTTCTTAAACCTTTTTATCAAGACCTTTCTACTAGCATCCTAATCTTGCTGTTTTTCCCTTTTTAAGTTAAAAAAAAAATTGTGCTGACATGCTAATTGCCTTTCCTTGTACTTCAGTCAATCAACGAACATTATTGGTTGTGCAACTGTGTCTCCTGCAGTGTACTATTTTAGCCTTACCCTGCTGACCCCAGGTATCTAACTCAGAGGGTCCTGGCTGCATTTGGATGCCTGCTTGATGGTCAACCTCTGCAGTTTGTTATAACTAGACTCACCCAAGACCCACTGCCCCTAGATCCTGACCCACGTCTAGACCTCTCCTGCCTTTTTCTGGCTTGGATCTTTAGGCTAGTATAGATTTCTTTCCATATCATTGACCTTATTCTTGTCACCTCTCACTCAAATCCATGCCCTTACTATCTGATAACCTCGTTCTGTTTCCTGCATTTCTTTATTCTCTGCCTTTCTTACAATTTGTACTCATTTCTCAGAAGAGTCTGATGCTGACTATTTGCTGTGAAACTAGCTCTGAACAAAGTTCACTACACCATTGAAACGTTGGCTTAAAGCAACTTTTTTTGAAAGATACGCAACTTCTGGTGCTGGAATCCCACACCTCTATAAAGATGTGAGTTAACAGTGAACATTTGAGTGATGCTCCCTCTGCTGACGTGCTGACTGCAAGGATGGTTGTCCCCCACGAGGACGCCCGGGTCCTCCTCGTAGCACCTGGCTGAGGCTGCAATGCACCAGCAGTACCGGGGCACACAGTCTCCTTTAGTTTGCAAATCTTTTCCCCAGGCTTCTTGGAAAAACAGCCAACCCTCTAGACCCAACAGCTGCTTTCTGTGGTTACGAAAATAACAGAAGTCCACAGTGGAATTCAGAAAATTACTTTTATTTGGTCAATTCTATAATTCTATATGAAGTGTTTTTGCATTTTTAGAGTATTTTCACATGCATTAATTCATTTCCAGGTGACAGAACCTGATCTAGAACGCAGGCTAATTCTTGGTCCAGTGCTCTTTGCACTATAACATGCTGGAACCAGTGGACAATGAGCTTTTCACACGAGCAGAGCAAAGACAACCTGCCAAAATAATCAAGAAACAAAGGTCAAGGCAATTTTATAATGTGACCAAACCCAAAACCAAACCCACTGCCATCAAGTCGATTCCAACTCATAGCGACCCCATAGGGTTTCCAAGGCTGTAAATCTCTACAGAAGCAGACTGCCACGTCTTTCTTATCATATGACAGTCAGTTCTAAGTGGATTAACTTAAAAGTTAATTTGAAAAAAAAAAATGGGTAGTAGAGAAGACAACAGTTAACTAAGCCACGAGAAAGTGTTCTCACATAATACGTTTATGCAGGAAAACTGCTTTCATCAAGGATATGCTTGCTAGCCTGTAGGACTTTGAACTTGAACCCATCTCAGAAGCCTGTAGGCTTGAGTGGGCGTGTCTGGGATCCCATGAGGCGGTCTGGTCGATTTGGTGGTGGCATCTTGATCAGGAGGGGCAGCACACAGACACACCTGTCTGGGAGGGACCTTGCTGGAAGAGCCGATGGCACTGCCAAGAGAAAAAGCACGAAGCCTGGCAGAGGTGGAAAGGAGAATGGAGCATACAAGGCATAAAGAATCTGATCCGGGTCAGGAGCAGGTACTCCAACAGGAGTGCCCCAGTGCTTCTATGAAACCACAAGAGGAGTTGATTACTAAACTTATATATCCTAAGAAATACAATCCTGGACCAAGGACAGCTATCTATTCTAACATACTTTTAAGATGGTGGAGTAAATGTTCTTTTGCCCTAAAGGTAAGAATTATTTTGGTCCAAAATGTTTCCCAAAAAAAAAAACCCTGCAAGTCCATGAAAAATAATAGAGTTTTTCAAAAGAAAAGTTTGAGCAGGAAAACAATGGAGCAATTGAAAAGTAGTTATTAAAATAATCATTTTAAAAAGACAGTTGATTAAGGATAATGGTGAATATAGCTCTGACTTTCTTAGAATAAA